TAATAAAGGTTTTCTATCATAATAGATTTAGAAAATTTTTATAGTTCTACCTGTGCAAATTCATCTGATGGTCAAACTCAATTAAGGTTTAATATTCAACCAAAAAAAAGACTATATACAAAGGAGTCAACTAGAAAAGATATTACCGATATGGTAGTTTTGGATGAGTTGAGTTTCCAGTTTGTAGAAGGACGGGGCTTTCGTAAGCTTATTGATGGACTATTACCTGATTTTAGTATCAGTGCTGATACAATAAAGCGAGACATTATGAAAGCTTATAGTAAAAGAAAAACGTTGATTAAAGAAATCCTTCAAAATGCTGAGGGTAAAATCTCTCTCACCTGTGATGCCTGGACGTCCCTTTAGCAACTTGGATACTTGTCAGTTACGGCACATTTTCTTGATAAGGACTGGAATCTCATTTCAATGTTATCATCATTCCCATTAATTCCTTATCTACATACTAGAATTAATATTGCTAATTGTATTAAAGCGAAAACGGATGAATGGTTTATTACCACTAAGGTAGTTAAAAAGTGATTTATATTTTTATACTTGTATTAGAATATTCAGACTTATGCGATTTTAAGGATTTTTTATTGTTCTAATAATGAAAAATCCCTGAAATTGCATAAGTCTGAATATTTTAACTTGTATTTAATATAGTTTTAAGTGAGTTATTTTTTAAATATTAATGACTTTGTTATTATAGTTGCAAACTATTACTCTCGACAACGCCGCATCAAATAATGTTGCGATTCATGAATTAGCTGATCTCATTTCTCAAGACTCTTATATACAAATTGATGAAGAGCTTTTTCATAACCGGTGCCTTGCCCATATTCTAAACCTCATTGTGAAAGACAGTTTAAAAAAAATTGCCAATGTTATTTGAAAGGTAATTATATACTTAATTAAAAATCAATATTAATTTTTTATTTGATATAATATACTATAATAGTTAGCATATAGTAACATAAAAAATTTTTATTAAATTTGTTTAGATTCGTAGTTGCGTTAAAGCAATACATACATCACCAAAAAGGCGTCAAATATTTTTGGACATCTGTGAATCTGAATCTCTAAAACCTGTAGTTCTACCGTTAGATTGTGACATGCATTGGAACTCAACGTTTCTAATGTTATAATCAGTGGTTACGGTATGATTCCCCGAAAGTTATTTACCCGAAAGGCCACTTACCCGACATCACAAGGGTGACAAATTGCTAAAAATATATACCTACAGCTAATAAAATGTTAACCCTAACCCTATGTGATGTCGGGTAAGTGGCCTGTCGGGTAAATAGCTTTCGGGGAATTGAGCAACAACCATAATTCAGTTGCACAAATTACAAATGTGATTTTTAGAATGAAAGACAGAGATAAAACATTTCCTGATATACCCGATGATAAGGAATAGAAAAATGCAGAGGCTATTTCTGATATATTAAGACCCTTTTATGAATGTATGTGTTATAAAATATAAATTTTGTAATTCAAAAAAAGAATACAATTACTGTACAATAAAATAATTAAATTGAAAAAAAGTTTTAGTATAATTTAATTTTAACTAATATGAATAATTAATTTTTAAAAATTCTTAAATAAAAATAGATACTTTGAAAGTGTCAGCAAATTTATACCCAACTCTTAACAATTCCCTTGCTTCAGTTTGGAATATTCGTACTCATCTTATGAGTATAAAATCTCATTCAGATAGCTTTATTCGCGATATTAGTCAAATAATGATTGAAAAATTTAATAAGTATTGGAAATGCAGCAGCCTCTTACATATGATCGCATGTATTCTGGATCCTCGCTACAAAATGCAATTTATTTCATATTATTACCGTGAAAAGAAAAAATTGTTACCGTATGATCTTGATAAAACAATACAGGACATTTGAATGAAGTATGAATATTTATTAATTAAATATTATATGTATATATTTATTTTTATTTCTAATATTATTAAAATTAGATTTGAAGATATATATCTTCATACATATTCCTCAACTGTTGATCATGATAATGAAATTGCTATTAATGTTAATAATGATGTATCGATGTTTGAAAACCATGTTGATGATTTCTTTGAATATGCTGCAAAGCAGACTTGGGTAAGCAAAAATGATCTGATTTGTGAAGTAAAACGGTATTTAGATGAACCAATTACTCAGAAAACTACCAACATACTTGAATGGTGGAAGCATAATAAAGAGTGATTTCCTAATTTGGGGGACGTCTAAAGCGGAGGCAACTTATATTTAATAATTTTTTCGATTAATTTAGGGTTAG